CACACACACACACACACACACACACACACACACACACACACACACACACACACACACAGAGCTATGGCTGGTTGTGCTCTTCTCCTAGCTACGCTGGCTAGCTGGCACCGCTGCTGGTGCTGGCTGCTGCATCCACTCGGTCATGCAGTCTCCCAGCATTGCCCAGCCAGAATGGGTGTCCAGCTGCCCAGCCTCTCGCTGTATGCCGAGGCGGAACCTGAACTGGGCAGGTAGGACCTGCCTTCCTTTTTCTGGAAGCTGTTGCAGCCTGCCAGGATCCCAACTACCTGGCCGGCACCCTGCCCCAAAACTGGCTGCGCCATTTGTTACATGCCCCAGCCTGTGCCGCCTCACAGAACTTCGTTTTTAGTCTTTTTTTTTTTTCTCTCCTGAAAACTAAGGCATACTCTTCTCTCAATATACCTCACACTACCTACCTTCTTCCCCCGAATACAAGGTACGGTCATTATAGCTGTATTTGGGGTATCTTTCAGTCTAAATATAGCTATAATGACCGTACGTTGTATTCGGGGGAAGAAGGTAGCAGCAGCCTCTGGATTAGTTAATCCACAAGTTTCCCTACTACCCTTAACCTTCTCTGCCTCACCCTAACCCCTGCTGAAGGATGGAAGGGCCACTACCAAGATCAGCCAGGGGGGGCAAGCCAACTACCTCAGCTGGTGAACCCACAGTTCGCACCAGGGGGCGCAGGGCATCGGATGGATGACCTCCCGAATGCCACTCACGTGCTCTACCAACTGAGATCAGCAGCTGGCCCAGGTTCGTGTTAGTATTTTCCATTTCGTCCGTTCTCAGTTTTAGGGTGGTTTGTTGTTTCTTTCTGGATATATGATGTTGGTATTTGTCGTGACTCGCGTTTCGGGCCAGAATTTCAGACTGTGTTGGCGTCAACCTCTATTTCAGAATGGGCCTGTATGAGTGCTGCATATGATGTTGACGTCAACACAGTCTCATTTGTTTCCAGCCAGTCATGTTCATCTATGGCTGGGCCTCCATCCCTCACGCTGCACCCCTGCTGAGACAGCAAGAGAGCATTTGGACTCTAGTCATGACCCAGGCCAAACATTTGACCCTGGGCTCCAAGCTTTTGGCCACACAAACTCCCATCTCGGCTGCCCGATTCTCAGCTGATCAGATGGCCCACATGAGAGGCCAGGGCGGTAGGCGGTCGGCCCAGCATTACATAAGAGAGGCAGCCCCAGTAGTAGGGTAGCTAGACTTCAGTTAATCTATGAGCTATTGGGCTGCGAGTAGACGAGACTGGTGGTGATGGTGGTGATGGTGGTGATGGTGGTGATGATGGTGATGGTGGGTGATGATGGTGATGGTGGGTGATGATGGTGATGGCCACTCACCTGGCACCATACCTTGGAGATCTCACCACAGCCATGACCGGCCTCCTTCTTCTTCTTGACATCTGCAATGCATCAGTGGCTCAAGGTTCTGCCTTTCACCGATTTAGTTTCAGCTCCATCTGTGTGAAAGAGAGAGAGAAAGGATACATCGCTATACTTCTTTTTCTAATCCTCCTCTCGTCTTCGTCCTCCACTCGAGAGTGTGAGGGAGAGAAGACAGGAGACTTGACGGTGGTATTTCGGGAGTCGGACCGTCTGATTGGATATTTGAAGCTGTTCAGGAGGCCGAGAGATTGCCGTAGATTAAGACTATGATAATTTGGTATCATCATACTTTGCATCTGCTTTGTCGTTGTGATCTTCTTCTTCTTCTTCTTCTTCTTCTTCTTCTTCTTCTGCTTCTGCTTCTGCTTCCTCCTCCTCCCTTCGCCCAACCACCCACCGTGCACTTCGTCTGTCTATGATTCAGGCAGGGAGCTGCTTGTATGTTTGGACCCCCCCCCCTTGCTTGCATTTCGATTTCAACGCGCCTACAGCTCTCTCTCTCTCTCTCTCTCTCTCTCTCTCTCTCTCTCTCTCTCTCTCTCTCTCTCTCTCTCTCTCTCTCTCTCTCTCTTTGTGCGTGTGTTTGTGTGTGTGTGTGTGTTTATGTTTGTGTGTGTGTGTGTGAATGCACTTGGTACTCAAACCCTATCGGCTATGGTGTCTCTTTCCTCCATCACTAATCCTAGCTATGACACCAGGTTACTCCGCCAGTATGCCCGACAACTTGCATCGAACCGTTGCACAAGGGTTCGGAAGCGCTTTCACAACATGCCAATTGACAAGTGAGTCGCCCAGGTACTGCAGCTGACTACATAGCAGCTGCAATTGACATCATCGTCATCTCCAGAGCGGTAACAATCTCCCTGAGCCTGTCGGCCACAAAATCCAGTTCCGGAACTCACCTGATCTTCTTTGGATGCTGCTGTTAAAATCAGACTGAGGCTCAAGACTTGTCTTGTCGGATACCGGGCCTACCGGACTTCTAACGACGTAAGACATCTACTGACCTGTGGCCTGAATCGGCGCTTCGGCCACTGGGTCTGCTGGTTCGGCTGTAGAAAATGGGACTGGGACCATAGGGAATATGGGACCAGGAAACGGAACAAGTCTGAGACATGAAATTATTCAGTGAGCTCTTCAAAACAAAACAAAAAAAAAGCGAAAAAACAAGGGCCTCTAGTCATGTTAAGCCACCACTACCCCTGACGTCAGAAATTTGGGGGGACCAGTAGCACAGGTTCATGAGGGTTACCGGTAGCATAGCGTGGAGAACCAACAGAGTGGCAAACATGGAGATGCACGACACCGCACTTTATTTCGCGGTTAAAACTATTTTCTTTTTGAAATATATTTTTGGAAATATATTTTTCCTGGAAAGATCACGACCAAATCTGAAGGCCCTCCAGTTTTCAGATTTCTTGACGCATTCTTCTGAGCGCGAAAAATCCCTGAGGTTGGGGATACTTTGCCGTTGGCCCACACGTGGCAAGGTGGCAAAAATGGAAAATACGCCGACTCGGCGCAACATCTATTTTGCGGCCTAGGCAATTTTTTGGCATTTTCATGATATTTTTCCTGGAAAGATCACGACCTAATCTACGGGATTCCAAATTTTCAGATTTTTCTGTCCATTATTCTGAGTGTGAAAATTCACCAAAGTTGACACTTTGGAATTGCGAAACTGGACCAGCCGGTGCCTGCCAGTCGCCCGCCCCCTCGTAAAACCCGCTCCATATGGCCAGGAAAGCCGAATTTCTGACGTCGGGGGTAGGTAGTGGTCGTTTAACAAGAGGCAGTATATCTGATGCAGGCAGCTAAGGTCAGGATGCATTAGTATGTCTCAAAAAGGCCCCTACTCATTTTGTCGTTCAACATCATTCGTCCATTGTCCTGCTCCACTCCGTTGCATTCATCCTGTAGCAGCCTGCCCACCCTCTCACATCGCTATCACCAGGATGATCTCGCTCTCCGATCATCACAAGCCGTCTGGAGCAAAGTGACACAGTTGCAGCTGCTGCACTCAGGAAATGTTTACCAGAATATTCTTTCGAACACAGACAGCAGCCCAGGGAAGATCAATAAAGACCCCAACGAGGCGAAGTTTTCCAGATCCTCCCAGATTCTTCACTTCCCCAAGTGTGAAGAAAGTGGAGAATCTGGAAGAAGGCGATTTTCCCTCCTGGTGACTTGTATCAGCAACATCAGGTACAGCCGGTGTTGAGGTGGCTGTGGCTATGGAAAGAAATGACAAGACAAAGCAAAACAAAAAAAAGAAAGCAAGCAAATGCATGTCCAAATTTATTCAGCCACTCAGATGGAGCAAAAGAGGGCAACAAGACTGCATCCCCACCTGATCTCCTTCCTTCTTTTTCCAGCTGACCACATTGCCCATTGTCTGCACAGTTGCAAAATTTCAAACATGGACATCTCCATCAGCCCGCAATCCAAGTAACCGATGTCCACTACATTCCAAGCAACTGATGTTGCTGAGGTTTCTCCCACAACACAGAATGCATTGGTGCACGGCATCTGTGCATAAGCGAGTGTGCTGCCAATTCTCGTAATGCTCAGAAACGGCATTCCTTTGTCAGCAGTCCAACGTTGAGCGATACATGAATGACAGGTGTAAGAGGGAGAAGGATAGAATTACATGTGTCTCCACACCCAGGTCTGAGAGAGAAGCCGACAATCAGACGGGCAGACAGGCAGGAGGGAGAGGGGGGAGAGAGAGAGAGGGGTAGGGAGAAATAAAGGGAGGGAAGGAGGGAAGGAGGGAGGGAGGGAGGGATGGAGAGAG